ATGATGGGAAAAGATTATCCTATTTTAGGATAATTGGTCCATTGGTCAAACTTTACAAAATTGGGACTTGAAGCATTGTCATTCCACAAATTATTTAGTCATCATTGTTGTTTTGATTTCAATGTCTATGGATGCACATATGCTTGAGAAAGTCAAAAACATTTTAATAAAACAAAATCAGATCTGTGAATTATTTTGCTTTTCATTTGTAAATTGCAAAAAGTATTGTGCTAATAAAATAAGCATATCCCATCTCTCCTCTCACTATTAATCATCTACTATAATAAAATAAGCATTTTCAGTGCTAAAGCTGAATTAGTCAAATAATGCTTCATAAGCTTCTACTTAGAGTTCTTGCTATGTTACAAGGATCCATAAGATTTTTTATTGCTTTAGCCACACACCTCTTTTCCCTGTGTGACTTTATTTATTATTTTATTGTATCTGCAGATACTGTTTTACTCACAATATTATCACTGGGCAGTGCAAGCAGACAAGGGTTTGCCAGGATTAGCAAAAATGTTCTGTAAAACTTAAGAAAACAAGTGTGAGACAACTGCCTCTATGCCACTCTTCACATCTTACCAGCTGTTCCTTCACTGGACAGATTGTAGTCTTACTTTCTCCCTCTTTTTCTCTTAGTATGAACCAATGTCTTGTCAGTAACTTACTCTACTTTTCTCACAATTACTCTGCTGTAAGATGGTATTATCCTCTTTCTTTCCAAAATTGTGATCCATGTGTCATGTCCATAAAGAAATACATAAATAAAAAATTAATTATACTATCACTGTGCCGTGTCCATAAAAAATAAATAAAAATTAATTATAGTGTCAAAAATAATTATAATAAAATGATTAAAACAGTTACAATTATCATTAATTCATTCATTCTAAACCAATGAGAATTGCTTCCACTTTTCTCCTCTAAACATACAAACACAAGACATTCTTACTATTGGAAAAGCAATTCACACAGACAGGTCATTAACATGTGTGTCAACAAAAATTTTGTCTACTTTTCTTTTTTTTAGGCTATAATAGTAACATTTATTTTTAGCACTCAACAAAAATTTGAGGCAAGAAAACTCCAGATACTTCTTGTGTTTTCTAACAAAATTATGTGGACACTTATTACACACATCTATAAAAAAAAAAATTCTTTACTTATTCTTTACCTTATCCTTCTGTTGGTTTCCAATCCATATTTGATCTACATTTGACCCCAAAGTCACAATTTTACTCAATATTACTGTCTCTCATGTATCCAATACTATATAACAACCAGATAATAAATAATATTCATTTTGCTGTTTCTACATCTTGCTGGTTCTCATTTTTATGAGTATTTTTGTATTTATAAATAATAATTATTTATTCAGTTGTAACTCCCCTACATATACATTAACATGTGAAAATAAACAAATAATGTCTTGAATACAGTTTTTATTTGGAATCATTTTATTTTCTGTGATCACAAGAAGAGAAATGTTCTTTTTATCTTTTAATAAGGGAATATTGTCTTTATGTCCAAATTTTGACAGATTTGTGTGTTCGTAACTGGCTATGTTGCTTCTAGTTGAACTCTTGCATCAGTCAATGTTGAGTTTCTAAAAACTGTAGAGCTAAGTATTGATCTCTCTTCAGTGAGCCCCCCAACTATTCTGTTTAATTTATAATTTTAGACAAAGGCAGTATATCTCAATTTGACATTCCAACCACCTGAAGAAGGCCGGAGTGTACAATGGCCGAAACATTGTGATAAATATGGTGACAAAGATGAGGACAATAGTCCGAATAATGTAAATAATGAACAAAAATATAAAATATTTCTAAATATGGTTTATTTGTTGTCTGAATGAAGGGTGGGAGACTTATAGCACAATCAAAAGACAATTGATTTAAAATGGCATCATTATTCGCTGTTAAATCTCAGTCTAGCATTTTGTTTTCCAAAGGTATAAATATTTCTTTGTTCTTATTTGTAAAAATAAGAATCTATAAAAAATATTCAATTGCAAAAGAGAAGAGTTGTTTTTTTTCATTAAGTATCTTTGTAAGGAATTTATTTTAATGAAATTATTTTTATTTACTTGTTATATAAATTTAACAGTAATAGTTAGTTGTAATAATAATAAAATACTTAGTCACTGAGGATGCTCTGAAAGTAATTCCTTCTATTTATTTCCATGGAAACTACAACAGATACAGAGACCGCTATCATACTGTTGGATAGAAAAGTTTTCAACTACAAAAAACACTATTTTCCATTGGCTATGCATTTTCTGAAGTGCTCTTCATTTTATGGGTTGACAGTTATGCAGGGGAGTCACCAAAAACATAGCTTGTCATGCATATCATTGTCACCACTGCTGAAACGCATTACCCAATGCCTAACTCTGCTCACATCCACAGTTTAGTCTCTATAAACATCCAGCAAACATTGATGAAAAAAGAATACATGCTTGCTTTGTAAATATTTTCATGTCAGACACCAGTTTGCTAGACTTGTTTTTGACTATCTTTTGATGTGTACTCAGAAATCAATTGAAACATTTTATGCTAAAACAACAAAGATGAAGATACTCATAAAGGACAATGACACTAACCCATTCATTGGGTCCAATGTTCTGGATAATCGCTCTCCAGTGGAATTATTTTGAGTTATTGAAATCTATCTTGTTTTTGTTTTACAAAGTATCTGTATCCCATGTCTAACCATTTTTGTATAGCTTCAAGTGGCTGAGTTTTGAATTCAGATATGTCCTTTATTAAACTTTATTGCCAGCCATGGCTAGAGAACTCAGTTTGTCCTTCTATTTAACCCATAGAAACGATTTCCCAAGGATATTTGTGTGAATGTAACAAACTTGACTGGAATTTAAAATTGACTCAATTCTATCTCATTCTGAGCTTCAAACCATTTCACCATCTGTTCATTCAAAATGGTGAAAATTCTTTTTATTTCACAATTTCACAGAACAGTTAGTAAATGGGCAACTCTAAAATGGAAAAAAATACAAAGTTTATCAAAGAGAATATAATTTTGGGGAATCATTTTGCGTGATTAAACATTACATTGGTTAATTATTTTTGCTCAATTTGGCCTCATTAAACTCATTGTATTTGTTTTTTAATATTTCCCCAGCCAAAGTCAAGTGCAAAAAACAAATCTTCCAATTTGAATTTATCATATTTAATTTTATATAAGATGTCTTCTTTTCAGAAAAACATGGTTGCCAGATCATATATGTGAAGTTGAAGTATATGCAATGCTAATGTCTTCTCAGAGACTGTAGACTATAAATATTTCTACACAATCTAACACCCTAATACCATAATATTAAATGTAAATGAGAAAATGTTTTATGTACTATCAAATACAATTTATCTTTTTATTTGGATTTGAACAAAAATTTCTTTTTATCATGATTAAATAAAAGTTAGTGTTAGTTTTAATCCACATGGGAATGACTATTTATTTCGTATACAAAATTTTGGCACATGGTCCTAGTTAATCGCAATCATGACATATTCATTCAATACACGCCCAGTCACCACAAGAACTTGTCCATCACCTCCCAATCTTGTATGTACTACGATACCACATATTCACAGAGACCTTCAAAATATTTCATGATACAAAAATTTATAATGTCTTTTTTTGATATTTTTCCTTTTTTTTTCTCAAAAATATATAAAAATTTATGTAACAATGAAAATGCAATCCACATGGGAATGGTTGCAAAACACTTAGGCCTGCCCAATTTATAGGCAGAAGCACACAAATGTATGCTGGGATTTTTTCCTAGCCAACAAAATAGGCCAGTCTTTTCTTGAAGTTAGAATGCTACATTTGCTTGTCTGAACATGCTTTTGTGTCTCAACCCCAATTCTTAATTTGTGAATTTTTTGTCATATTACTGTTTCTTTGCTTTATTGCTGTTAATTTGCCTTGAATGTATTGTTTGCTTGTTTTAGATTATTTTACATTTGACCACTACTCACTCCAGAGGTAGGTTTTCTTCATGAGTATTTGATGAAAGTTTTCTACTTTATATATCGAGAAAAGAAATAGATTCTTCATTTAAATCTTTGTTAAAAAGAAAAGATGGAAAAATGAATAAGAGATTTATGATTTATTTATACAATATTTGGGTGTGAAGATCTATTGTTGTATTACAATAAACAGAATTATAATACAAGAATTTGATGGAAAGAAAAACGTTTCTGAGAGGAAAATGATATTTTCAATCTTAAATTCTTAACTTGTTTTTCTTGAATTTATGTTGCAGGATGCCCAGAAAGCCACCAACGATTATCTGTTACATTTGTGGCCGTGAATTTGGAACACAATCAATCAGTATTCATGAACCCCAATGTCTGAAAAAATGGCATCTTGAAAATGAACAACTCCCCAAAAATCTTCAAAGGAAGCCACCAGTTAAACCAGAAGTTCCTTGGAACATTACAGACCAGAATGCCAAGATTCGTGAAGACTTTAACCAAATGGCCTGGAAATGTGCAAATGACAATCTGGTCCCTTGTGAAAACTGTGGGCGAACATTTCTCCCTGACCGACTTGTTGTTCACCAAAAAAGTTGCAAAACAGCAAAAACAAAGAGCAAGGAAGATATGAAAAATGAAAAGCAAAAAATAAGGCCAGAAACAACAACACTCATGAAACCCAGGTACCTGATTAAAGAAAGGGCAAATGTCCAAGACAAACCTCAATTCAACCGAGAAGGAACATTTATTCCTGAGAAGAAATCTGTCACCAGTTCTGTCACTTGTGATTCTTGTCAGCAAGAAGTGTCACATAAGAATTTCATCATTTCCAATAAGGACTGTCCTGGAAAAACTAAAACAAAGAGAAAAACATCTTTAGATAAAATGAAGAAAGATAATGGAAACAGTGAAAAAGATGTCAATTCCAAAGAATCAATAAAAAACATTAATGTCCAGTGTTCAATCTGTGGTCAAGATCTTTGTGAGAACAACATGACTGTTCACTTGACAACATGTAAGCAGAAGGTAAGAAAGTCCATCTTGACAATGTTTCATCTGTGCTAAATATGCTATTATTTGGAAATAATAATTTCTATATTATTTTTTATCTAATATTATTTTTCTTTGAATTTCTGGTATGAGGAATGATCATTATTTACACTATTTATATTCAGACTATTGTCCTTATCTTCTTTTTATCCTGGCCTTCTTCAAATATATATCAATCTGGATAACCTACAGAGAATTCTGAACTGAACCCTGTATTTAATCTACTGATAGACTGTTATCAAACTGGGGATATCACCTAGTTCTTATTTTATTTAGCACTGTTCGCTTATTGCTTGTCCATTTCCACTGAGTGCAAGTACACACTGCCCAACCCAGGGTTTCACCATTATATTCTCTACCACAACTACAAAGAATTAAGTACATGCAATTCATGGTCATATTCTTACTTAGCAGAGACTTCTTCATAGAGTGGAACTGCTTCAGGATATTGTCCTGACATTGTATGGACAGCAGGTTTCTGAATCTTTTCTGATAAGCCCTTTACACATGGTGGATAGACGATGGCAATTTTCTGGTCATCCTCCTTGTCACTTCTGTTCCCACCTGCTGATGCCACATTTACCGAGTAAACATTGGTGACATAGTGACTGTGAATTCAATCCCTGGGTCGAGCAATGCATACTTGTACTCATTGGAAACAAGTGCGCAATGACTGAACAGTGCAAAAAAAAATAAGAACTAGATGATATCCCTAGACATGAGCTGTGGAACAAGAACAGTCTACCCTCATAGATTAAATAAAGGGTTCACTTCTTAATTCCCTGTCAGTTACCCAGACCAATATACACCTGAGGAAGACCAGAGAGTACAATGGCCAAAACATTGTGGTAAAAACAAAAAAGATGAGGACAATAGTCTAGATATAAATATTGTAAATAATATTATTATGCATAAAAGAAAAAAACGTCTTTTGTTTATGAATGATTGAAAATTATAGTATATACAAAAAATGAAAACTTTTTTGTTTTATAAAACGCTAAAAATAAAAAGGGGACTACTCATAATAAAAGAAGAAAAATACTATCAGATGAAATGAAACAATTAATCATAGAAGAAAATATTTACAAAAGTAATGAAGAAAAATTAATTGATTGGAACAATGAAGGGTATCCTCCTTTTTCCTGCATTTCAGTATTTGATACAATGTATGTTTATGCAAAAAGATATTTTCAAAGATGAAGCAAGCTAAATCTGCATCTATCATAGTCTTGACTAATCAACACTTACGTTCAATTTTGATGATAGGAAGCACACATTTTGAAACACAGTTTGACTATGTCTTACATATAAAAAAGTATTTCGTAATTGATGCCACTTGCAAAAATATTTGCTGACTGCATGTTCTATGCCCACATATCTCAACATTAATATAATATTATCCACATATCTACATACCATATGATGTACATAACACTTTATACAGTTCTTATAAACATGCTGATTCTAATATCACAAAATACTTAACTACCAATATGTCCTCAAGGACACATGGTCCAGTAGATAAAAGCGTTGGTTTAATCCAGTGACTTGAACCAAAGAGTTGTGAATTCAAGTTTTTGTTCACCTCTGCTGTAGCCTGGTGAACAAAAACATGGAGCTAGAACAATTTACCCCAGTGGATGAATTAAAGGGTTCAATTCAAAATTCCAATCACCTGAAAAAGACCAGAGTGTACAACAGCTGAAATGTTGTGAATATTGCAATGAAGATGACAACAGTTCAAACAATGTAAATAGTACCAATATAGATATGTTAATAATTCCTATCTCTATAATTGCAGTATAAATAACATTTGAAATAATAAAAGTGTAGGATTAAAAATAAATCTATTAATTCTTTAAAAATTACTTACAATGTACATAATAATTTCAGTATACCACAAAAGAATTTTGTCTAAAGGAAATATAAAAGATTACCAAACTTAACAATATTTCACTCTTCTCGTTGCATTGTTAGACAGGAAAAATACTTTGTAGTTTGATGATAATAAATAAGTTTAAGACTAAACTTGGAATATGCCTTCTGCAACCGGTATTTAGCCACTAAGAAAGCTCTTACTTTTTCCACAACCCAAACATTAAACATGTCAGAGTGAAAGTACTAAAGTTGAACAATAAAAATTGTTGAAACTTAATTATTTTGGGCATTGGATTGAAGATCTTATTGAGTTCACATGGTCCAGCAGTATTTGTACATCTTCCTGGTGTAGCCAGAGTATGAAAGTGTTATCTACAAATCTCAGCCATACTGTTGGCTTTAGTGATACCATTCCTGAAGCTATTTTCTCAAAGTATTTCATAGTGACAACAGTGAAGCCATAGTTATGCTTTCTTCCTGTTAGTATGTGTCAGTCTCTAATTGGCAGAATGTTGTCTGTATACAGAACATACTAACATTTCCATCAGATTATCTATTGAAATGTTAGTGCATTCTCTCAGGAAGGGATCTAATTCCAATCAGTTTTGAATCACTGTCAGGGCCTCATCTGTAGGAACTTTGGTGGATAGGCATGTCACATCCAAATTTACTATTTGATTGCAATGGATGGGAGCCCCTTGGACCAATTTCCCAAAGTATTCTGAATTTCTAACATAGAATGAGGACATTCCTGCTAGTGGGTTGACTATATCCACTAGGAATCTGTTCTGCAGCTGACTATAAGTCTCAATGGAATACCAACTTTGTGAAACTTGGAGAGACCATACATATATGGCAACTTGGTGTAACATTTAGTCACCTCTCTATACTTATTCAGTGCAAAGTGGTCCTTGTTCTAATTTAAAATCTGTGACAACTTCCTCTCAGTTTTTAGGGTTGCATCTTTTTTCTTGTCTTGCTTTCCATCTTAACACATATGTTTGGGCCTTTGGGATCTTGAAGGCAATCTCCTCCACTGGAGCTGTTATGTCTTAGTATAGAATTCACCTGATAGAAGTGATTGTAAAGTTGAGACCCTTGTTTAGCACTGGTTCCTCAGAAGCATTCAATTGCCAATTACTGATATTGACAAGTACTCTTACCAAATTATGGTGGGCCTTGTTACTGATCCAACTCAGTTCTTTCATCCATGCAAGTTTATGCATTTAACGCTTTGAAATTCTTGACTATACAACTTATCCAGGTCTTTTTGAAATTTGTATTTGTTCGATTTGAGTTTTATCTGAGTTAATCTCTGGGTCTGTTTGGATATTTCATAATTCAGGTGATGTTTCCTCTAGCAGTTGTAGAGAATCCTTTAACTCATGAAGGCATGTTCTGCAATTTACAGAACCCTCTGTGCTCTCTAAAACTGACTGATGTCTTGATTGTTAAGCCTGATGGAAATAAGTTTAGGTTTCTACATCTGTATAGTAATCTCAAGTGGATTAACATCCATGCCAATGGAGTTTTTAGGACCGCCTCCATTGGTGTATTACATTGGGTTCATATTGATTTGATAATTTCTGTCTGAATTTCTAGGATAAGGAGTTATCGGTATTTACATTATTTACATTCAGACTAATGTCCTCATCTTTGTTGTTGTTATCACATTTTTTGGTCATTAAGTTCTCCAGCCTTCATCAGGTGTATATCAATCTGGGTAACCTACAAGGAATTCTGAACTGAACACTTTATTTAATCTATAAGTGTAGACTGTTCTCATTCCACTGCCCATATCGAGGAACATCTTGTCTAGTTCTTATTTTTAATACTGCTCAGTTATCACTTACCCGTTTCCACTGAGTGCAAATGCATACTCCCTGGACCAGGGAGTGAACTCACAATTACTATGTCACCAAAAAATCTCTACTCCGGAGATTAAATAAAGAGTTCAGTTCAGAATTCCCTGTAGGTTACCCATATTGACATACATTTATAGGATGAAGGCCAGAGGGCACACTGGCCAAAACATTGTGATAACAACAAGATGAGGACATTAGTCCAAATATAAATGTTGACAACTCTTCATTCAAGAACTTCATGCATAAACTATTTTAATTTGTCAACATTTAATATTATAATCTGATTTACTTTTGTCTCAGTTCTGCTTCCAAGGAATAAAAATATGATTGTCTTTTTATTTTAAACATAAACTGAAACCATTGTTTATAGCATGTAAGATACAGCTTGTGAAAACATGTGGCTTTGAGAAGCTTATATCATTTTTGTAACATTGAGTCTTAGATAATGTTAAAAAAAAAAGTAGCAATATTTAATTTCTACATCTAAATCCATTTGTTTTACTGTTTATTTTATGCAGACTTAAAAAATAAATCTCACTTTTTATTTAATGTTTCCTTTATATTGAAAACTGGGTATTTTACAAGTAGAATGAAGTTCTTAGCATTTCAGTTAGAAGTGTTTACCTCATCTAGCCACTTGTGATGTAATGGGAGCTCTAACACACGATACAAAAATGGTAAATTCAACATTAACATTCTGAAGATAAAACATTTATGACCAGAAGCAAATCTAAAATTAAAATCAAAAATCATTTGTGAAAAAGAAAAATCTTTAATTAATTGCCATTATTTTCCATTTTTTTCAGAAACAAAATTCTAATGTCAAGACACTTTTGTCAAGCAAAAAACTCTTGAATTCTAGTTCAAGATCCCAGATATTGCCTCTCAACAAAATGGAACCAGTTATTGCTTTCCAGTCATCTGGCCCTCAATTTCTTACCTGTCATATTTGTGGACGGGGATTTGGAAGCCATTCCCTTCCAATTCATGAACCTCAATGTCTGGCAAAATGGAAGAAAGAAAATAGTAATTTGCCATCAAATCAACAACAACCAGTTCTAGCAAAAGACAAGACATTTCCAGCAGCACAAGTAAAAATCAATGAAAGGTAATTTTTGATTCTCTCTCTTCTGCTTGTTTTTGGCTTATTTTAATTACTTCCAGACATAACCTGTGTTAATCTTTTCACTGCCATGTATATTCTAAGTCTGTAAACTAAGTGGGGAGGGTCTGTGTCACCTAGCCAAATAAATATGTCTCTACTATGGATCTTTACTTATCTAATCAATCCATAATTTTAATATACAATCTGTTCCTCAAGGGCAAAGTTGAGGAATGAAAATAAATATCTGCAGATTGGAGAAATTAGCTATCTTCAATATTGGTCATTTCACCTTCACTTATATATCAACTTTTTAGACTACTCATTACAAAGCCCTGCTTGGATTCAGTGCAGCTTACTTGAGTGACAGGAAATAGAATCAAACAAACACAACAATAAATCCAACCTTCTCCCCCCACACACACCAAAAAAAAAAGAAAAAATTGTAGTTAGAGAAATTAAATATTTTTTTCTTCAGTAAAATGCATAAATTATATTTTCATATAGAGAACAAGAAATATTTTGTATGTAAAAATCAATTTTCTGCAAGGGTTGATCTCTTTAATTTAGAGAAGCAAGGAATTTTAATATTTCTCAAGGACAATGTAATAAGAACCTCTTAGTGTTCATGAGTTGTGTCCCTTGGATGAAATAAAGAATATCGCAGCACCACGTGCCTGACTCAATATTATGAGAGTAAATACGAAAAACTACATGGCAATAGCAATCTAAAGATCAACAGTTAAACATAAATAATAAATGGTGACTTAAATGATCACAAAGGTGAGAATAACATGATATATATGGGAATTTAAAAAAAAAAGATAGAAAAAAATGGCAGCTTCAAGTATTCTATTATCAAGTCTTTAATGAATGGTTCAGTTTCATGTCTTCTTATTCATCATTAACAATATAAATGAAAAATTAAAATATAATTATATTTTATAGAGAACATGGCCAAAAGGGTTGAGAATTAATAAAAAAATGCACAATTAACAAATGAACAGAAGAAAGAATTATTTGTGAACATATTCAGAATTTTCGAAAACCGTCTGATACAAAAGCCAAACAAATGTATTGAATGTTTAAAATACTCAGCATTACAACAAAATGAAGAAACAATTGATGAATATTTAATTAAATTGCAGACAAAAGCAGAAAAATGTGGATTTAATGCAAACAAGGAAGAACAAATCCTTGAACAGATAATAAAAGGACTTAAATGGGCAGATGAAATTTAATAAACCAAATCTTACATTAAAGAAAGCATAAAATCATATGAAGCTACCACAAAAAATAGCACACATTACAACAATGTCAGTGAAGGAAAGGCACAAACATACTATGAAGTAATGTTAAAGAATACCAGACAGTGTACAAGATGTAGAAAACCTACGAAAAAGAAAAGAAGGCTGTTGTGCTTATAATAGAGAATGCCAAAAATGACATGGTTTACATCATTTCAAAAAATGTTACCTTGCTAAAATAGCCACAGACCAAAACAGAAACCCTAGTCCACATGGAATAAGAAAAGTAATCTGTAGAGATCTAGAAAGCAAAGTCCATATAGAATAAAGAGCCCACACAGAAAACAAAATATAGAAAATAAAAATGTGAATGCCACTTACCAAACAGAATATGACCCAAACCAAGAGCAAGAAAACCTAAATTTAAATCTATAAAAAAAAAGAGATAAAATATTTAATTACAATAATGCCAAATAAATATTTGTTATCACGGATTGGCAAGATTTATATGGAAAAAGCACAAAATAAAAAATGAAAATAGGCACTGATGCTAACAAAAACATATTGTCACTTAGAATTGATAAAAAAAACTGTACCTCAGAATATTAATAAAAATAATGACAAACCAATAAGTGTCAAAATGGAACTACTTTATAGGCAGTAAATACCAAAGAATGGTTTGGTGGTCCTCAACATCAAGTATAAATCTCTGCAAACCATTCAAGCCAAATTTTTTGTATGTGAAAGTGGCACAGCAATATTAGGTTTAAGACCAAGTATAAATTTAGGTTTGATACAAATTAACTGTAGTACAACATCAGGAAATACTAGAAAACTACTAAAAAACACAGATTACCCTACAAGTGAATATCCTGACATATTTCAAAGTAGTGGAAATTTTGCAGGGAAACAAATAATACACATGTAACACCAGCAGTCTAACCTCTACAAAAATATTCAGTACACATGAAAACTGAAATGAAGTAAGAATTAGACAAAATGGAAGTTCTTGGTGTGATCACAAAAGTGAATGAAGCAACAGATAGGATGAATGCAATTGCATGTAACAGGAAGAAAAATGATGAATTATGCATATGATTAGTTCTAAAACTGATAAAAAATGCATTTGTTGTATCTTGTCAGCACTCTCACTTATCTAAAAACAATTGGAAGAAAAAACTTAACCAGAAAACTAAAACTCTTTCTCCTAAACTCGGTGGTGCTAAATATTTTACAAAGTTAGATGCAAAACATGAATAGCGAGTAATATACCTTAATGAAGGATCAGGTAAAGTTTACATGTTTCAATATGCCATTTGCTACTTAAGGAGTCCCAGGACATATATCACCATAAAATGGACCAAGTACTAGAAGGTTTTGCAGGAACCATTGGAGTATCTGATGATATCTGTATATATGGGAAAACCATTGAAGAACATGATTGAGAGAAACAATGGATACAGCCAGAAGATATGGTTTAGTTTATAACAAAGACAAATGCAAATTAAGACAGAAACAGATAAAATTTTATGGTCTTATTTGAGATGACAATGGTTCTCACCTATGCATTCATCTTTAGTCAAAAAGCTAAGAGCTTTTTGACTAAAGATGAATGCATAGTTATGTAAAGAAGAATGCAAAACAATGTTATCCAAAGGATTCATGAAGCACATCAAAGAATTAAAAAATGTCACTTCAAAGAAAGAAATAGTGTTTATTGGAGAGGTACAAACAAAAACAATGAAATGCTAGTGTGATTGTGTGAGTTAGGCAATGAACATCAAAGAAAAAACTCTAGATACAATGATCATTAAAGAACACCCAACTATAGACTATTTTAATATATTACAGCTGACATCTTTGACTTCAATGGTCAACAATTTTTACTCATTGCTGACCATTACAGAAAAATGCTTTTCATCAAGACAATGAATAATGTCACTAGCTCAAACTGCTTAAAATACTTCAAAATAATTTTTGCTGTTCATGGCATCCCATGATAGTATCATCAATATAGTTCACAACAGAGAGAGAAAACAGCAACAAACTAGCATTCCTGGATGTACTAATATCTCAAACAGAGCATGGGTTCAAGACATCCATATAGTGCAAACCAATATTCACTGGACAATACCTTAACATCAAATCTCACCACACATACAATGTAAAGAAAGGGATTGTCTGCTGCCTACAACATAGAGCAAAAGTCATAAGTGGCAACCCAGAAACATATGAACAAGAAATGGTTAGTATAAGCAGTACCTTACAACATAAGAACCACCTTGGGTACATGGCAGCAGCTCTGACAAACTGTGATAGAAGGGTACAAGAAGATAACAACACTCAGTAAACAGCCTCAGTCTGCCTATTCTATGTGAAGGAATTATTGGAAAAAATACAAAAGATCTGTGGTCCATATAACATTAGGATGACCTTCAAAAGTGGTTCAACAGTTCGCAGACACCTCTTTTGAGTAAGACTTCCCATAAAGAAGAACATAATTAAGGACTGTGTACGCCATCCATGCTGCTGTGGTAAGAAATATAAAGAAGAAACAGGTAGTCCCCTTGATATAAGAGTGGAGGAACACCATAAAACCATAATATGAAGGGAAATAGAAAAGTCAGGTGTGGCTGACTACATATGGAGGGAAAAGGAAGATCACCAGCCCCTTTGGGATGAGGTTGAAATAATAGACAAAGAACATCACTGGAAAATATGAAAATTTAAGAAATCAGTGCATATGCTAGGCCACAAAAATCTCCTAAGCTGACCAAGCATAGACAGGAATACAATATGGGAACCAGTAATACAGAGCTAGAGAAAAATGTATTGTAATATGGGCTCTTAAAAAAAGGTTACTGAAGCATTAGGTTTATAAGTCCTGTTGATGTCCTCAAGGACACATGGCCCAGTGGATAAAAGTGTTGGTTGAATCCAGTGACTTGATCCAAATAGTTGTGAGTTCAATACCTAGCTACAACAGAGGTGAACAAAAAAACTTAGAGAGTTAAAAGAAGATAACTGATACTGAGATATCTAGAAGAGACATGGCACATGTAAATAGAACAATCTACCATGATGGATGAAATAAACTGTTCAATTTGAAATTTTGTCTGAAACATTGTGAATATGGCAACAAAAATGAGGACAACAGTCTGAACAATGCCTTTTTATTGTTTTATTTTTATTTGATAAGAGAGATGTAATAGGAACTTTTAGGGTTCATGACTTGTGTCCCTTGGATGTATTGAAAAAAACAAGATTGTGAAATAAAGCAGATAGCAGCACCATGTGTTTGACTCAATATTATGAAAGTAAATATGAAATATGACAGATAGTTTAGAATTACACTGAGAAGTACAGTCTCTCCTTGAGTAAGGATATCAATGTTTGAGAATAATTATCCTGTATCTAAAGTCTGTGAGAGCAAAATAGTAGAACATACTGGATTGAATATCTGACTGGAAAATAATATCACTCATACAGCAGATAATGTATTAAACAAATATATTAAATGTGGCAGATAAGTACATAAAACAAGTGTGTTGTACTTATTAGAGATGTAGGTTAATATTTTGTTTAAATTACTCAGTTATGATAATTTTGATTCAGGCATGAATTTTAAAACTTAGAATATAAGAATCAGTTATTGATCCTTCAAGTTTAACTGACACCAATTTTTCAGACTTTTAATCAATGAGGCAGATCAGAGCAAATCAGTTTACACTTGAATCAAATGTAGCAATTATTAAATTTGTGACAGTGTCAATTAGTTTCTGCTTTAAACAGTAAAAATCTTGAATGTTTGTGTAAATTTTTTCTTTGTTACTTCATATATATTGTGTATTAAATGAATGTCAAATTTAGATTCATCTATTGACTTAGTTTCCTCAAAGACTAAAGTTAATATAGAAATAAAACATTTTATTTTGCAGAAATCACAAAAGAAATGAAATCACTCAGTCTTGTTCCAATTGTGCAAAACTTATGTCAGTTAGTGAGTTTAAAGATCATCAGAAAAATTGCAAAAAACAAATAACTCCAAAGGTACAGAAATCAGTAAGTATAAATGTTAATAAAAATTCACAGGAAATAAATAAATAGATAACAGAATTCTGAGAGTCTGAAAAATGTATTTATGTTTAGAATAATTCATTTTTAAATGATAATTATTAAGATTCTATGTAGCAATTGATGCAATCTTTTCATTTATTTAACAAGGTTTTTATATGTATTTGCAAAGTCATCTGGGTATTTACTACATAAATGCATCAATTTTTTGTTCAAAGACTATTGTAAGGGTTGTTCGAAAGTTTTGTCACCCCTACCTCTCTTCCAAACTGTTGAGGCTCATGTCAGCCATCTGAAATAGTAAATTATATTATGTATGGGTGACAAGAGTTTCGGACTACCTTGTATGCATAAACTGGTTGAATGATGATTTTTTTAAAGACACATGGGAGCAATTTCATGAATGTTGAGGTGATAAAATTTGTTCAAAAATTTAGACGGAGTCAGAATATTTCAAAACTGTTTGCTTTTCTAATAAATCTTGTATTAAAATAAAAATGAAATACAATTTCATTGTACTGGATCAGCATGCTACACAAAAAACATTGAGAGAAAAATGAGAATGGTGCCAATCAAATATTTATTATAATTTAGATTCAAATTAAGGACAATTCATTGAAAAATGGATGCATGGGAACCACTTTCAGATTCTTTTCACATTTTGAAAATGAAAGCCAGTTTTATAATTTTTTAAACATTTTATAAATTTTTCCTCATATTCCAAATGACTAATTTATAATCATGTTAGAATTAGAAAAATTCTTTCTCTATTTTCAAATATTCTCAGTTTTAATTGAAAACAAACGAAATATGATTGCTCTTGATTATCTTTGTCGAGGTGTCTGCCGTATCTGTTTTTGCTCGACCTCCAACTGTCATCTGCTACATTTGTGGACGCGAATTTGGCACAAAGTCCATCTTCATCCATGAACCTCAATGTTTGAAAAAATGGCATCTAGAAAATGAGAAATTAGCCAAAAAAGATCGCAGACCAGAACCAAAGAAACCAGAAGTCGTTTCTTTGAATGGTAAGTTGGTAATCATTTTCATTAAATTCCTTTTTGAATATAAACTTTTGACTGCAAAAAGACAATCTTTTCTAACTTATTTGTTTGCTGAATGAAACAGCAGCATGTTTGCCGTTGATAGCAGTAATCAATCAGTGTTAAAATTTAGTTAAGAAGGATCAGAATTTCAAATAATGATTTACTTGGCTGGCATTCATCACCTGGAAAATTAGTTGCTACACAATCTTTCCAGTTCAAGCAGTCACTCATTAAATTTTCAATACTTGCATGATATAAGTATGTATCTCTTTCTTTATCTAATTAGTTATATCTGTGTGCTGGTCACAGTGTTGTGGTAAACAAGTTGTTCTCAGAAGCAATTTCTGGCTGTTTGAAAACAATTTTGTTAATTTCAGTAAATTCTAGCTTTTTTTATATTAATCAATTTCTCACTCAATTTATCACAGCCTATTTTTGTGTTTGTAATGTAGCAACATATACTGAGCAAGTTGACTGGGCTATTCATCAGTGAACTGAGTTGTGGCTTTCTGTTAGACTAAGTTGTATTATATATCATGATATTTATCACAATACTAATTACAACTGACACTGGACATTCAAAAACACAGCAAGTTTTCCGTTACTAGCATGCTTTTTAATCTTTCAATTAAAAATTGTGCCACTAAGGTTTCTTCTTGGGTCAATGCCGGCATGGACTCTTTCATCCCTTCTCGGAAATATCAGGGGAAGCCTCAATCCTCTCCATGGTTCACACCATCACGCTTGGTCACTATAGCACACAGGAACCACTATTTTGGGCTATAACAGTGTGACAGCTCTTGTCACAACAGTTGTTATTCGTTGCAGCTCGTAATAAATGTAAGTGAATCCTCAAAAGAGCTAAGTCCCTTTTTGCTGAGAGAATGAGGCACCACATAGCCTCTAATAACTTTGGTTCTCATAATTTCTGGCCACTCTGTAATAAGGCATTGAATAAGTGTAAGGTCTCTATCCCTCCCCTCTTCAATCAATTTGATGTCTTCTTATCAATTAAAAATAAAAGCTGATAAAGCTGAATGTTTCTTGTGTAAATTCTCTTCAATCTCTACTCTCGATTCATCTGGAGTATTCCTGCCTAACTTCCCACTTAGAACTGAGTCTGTGTTGAGTGATGTACATATAACACCTTCCATAGTTTCTGCTATCATCTCTAACCTAGATTTCCACAAAGCATGTGGACCCAATGGTAGGTATCCCTGTAGTAATCATTAAGAAGTGTGCTCTCGAACTCGCTCCTGTTCTCTTTAAGCTGTATAATAAATGCCTCACTGCCTCTTACTTTCCTGCTTGCTGGAAGTCATTATCTGTTGTTTCAGTTTTTAAGAACTCTGGTGAACCGTCCAACCCTTCCAACAATTGGCCTATTAGCCATCTACCTATTTTTCGGAAATTTGTAGAGTTCTTAATCAATGCTGAATTGCTTCATCATCTCTCATCTCAGACAAGAAATATCGCTTCCATTTCTCCAGATCAACTGCTGATATACTGAAGATAATTGTGGAAAGAGTCTATCATGCTCTAGATAAAAATAGTAAAGCCCTGGCTGTAGCATTGGTCATCTCTAAAGGGTCTGGCATTCAGGTCTTCTCCATAAGTTGAAAAGTTATGGTGTCTTTGAACACTTTTTTGAACTAATCCAGTCTTTTCTATCAAACTATGAAAAAGAAGTTATCCTGAATGGCCACTCATTTTGTACTAATGCAGCTATCCATCTAGGGCTCCATCCTTGGTCTTACTTTGTTTGTAATTTTCATTAATGACCTTCCTGATGACATCAGTTATCAACTTGATCCCTATGCTGATGACACAACCATTAACTCCTGCCTTGATAGTAAGGCTGATCAGTCTGACAAAGTCAGAATGGCAGCCGATATCCAGAACAACCTGAAGTCTGTCATTAACTGGAGCAAAAGATGGTTTGTTAATTTTAACACCTCTAAAACTAAACTTCTCTCCATTAATCATTTGAGGGACCTCTCATTGCTTTCCATCAGCATGGATGATTCTAATCTCCAGGAACATGACTTGTTGCTCCTTCTCAGGCTCACATTCTCAGCTGACATGAAGTGAAAAGACTAAATTGAATCCATTGATTGGTCAGCTGCTAAGAAAGTCGGTTCACTGTGTCATGTAAGACCATTTTTCTCTCCAGAATCTAGCTTACATATCTATGTCTGCCATTCATCCATGCTTAGAATATTACTTCTATGATCTGGTGCCTCTGCTACTTACTTTGAGTTCTTTGATAAAATCTAAAGAATCACCAATATTATTGGTCCTGATCTGGCAACTCTACTTCAGCCACTTTCCCATCACCATAATGTTGCCTCTCTGTGTCTTTTCTATAAATACTTTTATGGTAATTGTTTGGATGAGCTCTTCAGTATGGTACCAAGACATTTTGAATGTAAACGGAGTACTAGACTCGCATTGAGATCTCATCAATTTACAGTTGATCTGGCTAGATGTAACCATGAGTTCTATGCTAACAGTTTCTTTTCTCACACTCCTCGCTTGTGGTACTCCCTTCTGGCTCCATGCTTTTTTGTCAACATTAATCTGCAAAAATTTAAATGCAATGTAAATTGCTATCTACTATCCTGCTGATTACTCTTTTCTCTTTCTGCTTATTGTTTCTATTCCTAATTCTTCTACACCCTATAATCCCCTTGGGTCTTAGTGGCTTTACTGCCTTACATTGGGTGATACCAATTAAAAAAAAATATTTACCTTTTGAATTTTATATACTTTGATGATTATGTTTTTGATATTTCCTAACATTTTGCTGATGTTGCTGTTATAGTCATTTGTTTGTTGATGACAAAACTTGATCTTTTAATCTTAATTTGTTAACCTTAATGTCTTTCTGTAAAAATTGTTGTTTACATTATTTTTTCTTTGAAATTATTGATCCAGATTTTGATTATGAATTAAATGTATTTTAGTTTTAGTCACTTAAAGCTGGAAGTACATGAAACAAACTGTGATGCCATAATTGGTTCTGTTCATATATGCAGGTGACGGCATTTACAATCTTGATGCTATGAATGAAGTGGCTTGGCAAGTGTCCCAGGCTGCTCTGGTGCCTTGTCAAGTCTGTGGTCGCACATTTAAGCCTGACCGGCTTGTTGTTCATCAGAAGAGTTGCAAGCCAAAGAAAAAATGAACTATATTCCTGGTCAGTTTTCACATTCTTTTTTTTTTATTGGGGTGATGGTAGCAGTTCAAGTTAAAGGTCAGGTTATTACCCACACTCACTTCATGCTTCCATACATTCATGCTCACACAAATATGCATATGTATGCATGCACATACACACATACTATTGTCCTCAATGTTTTTCTTTACTTTTCCTCACTTTCCTTTTACTCCTTCCCAAATGTATATTTGTAAGAAACACACAGTTACTTTAATTTCAACATAAAAAAATTAAAAGATGAATATGTCTTTATTTTTAAACAAAAATATTGTTTTATTTTTTGTGCTCTTTATAACAAATTAATTTTGTTGTGTAAAAAGAAAAATAAATAAGAGGAGCTGACTAGATAATCTTACTTCTTAAATGAAAATTGCAGTACTAAATAAAACCTGTATTTGGATAATTTTACTGCTACACCCAGAATATATATATATATATATATATATATATTCCGGGTGTAGCAGTAAAATTGTCCAAATTCAGTATATATATAACCCTTTGAGTTATTCAGATAGAAAGAGAGCAGGTTAAAATTGTTGTGTCAGACCCACTGTCTTCCCAAATGAGCAATGTTGAGAGGAAAAAGATCATTCGGGCCTTCAGTAACAGTACTAATATTCATACTTTGGCTTCCATCTTCAAAGTCTATTCAAGAACCATCAAGAGAATGGTGAATAAGTTTAAAAAAGAGGGAACAGTAGAGAGGAAAACTGGATCAGATAACAACAGGAAGAGGGATTATCATTGCAATTTAGAGCTAAAGAGATCAATTAGAAAAGATCCAACTCAATTCATAAGATGTTTGGCACATGAGAGAGGAGTTTCAGCTATGACAGTCAAAGAGCAGTGAAAAAATACTTGAAGATGAAATTGTATGTGAAACTTGTGAGGTACTCCAGGACAGAAAGTTAGAACATTAAAGAAGGTGAAGATCATCTTGAATAAGTTGGAATATGATCCTGGAATAATAGATATATATTTGAACTTAATTTAAATCCTTCATGATCAAATTCATGATGATAATTCTGTTAAACTTAGAGAGTAATTATACATTCTTATTGCTCAAAGCAGAGTCCAATAGTGTTATAAAACCTTGGAGAATTCCAATAAGATGTCTTTAAACATTTCTGAGATACAACAGTTCAAAAGCTTAATCTAACAATTAGACAATTTTGCAGTTATATATATATATATATATATATATATATATATATATATATATATATATGTGTGTGTGTTTGTGGTTAAAAAGTATCAGAGATAAGACATATGTAAATATAAAAGTGGACAGTGAGGTCAACACCAAGTAACATGTTTGAATGTAATCTTCAAGTCTTATATATATACATATATATATATATATATATATATATATATATAATTATTATTAATATGCTCATCCACATGCAGGCCTGTTTCACAGCTTATCAGTGTGTCTAGACATCTGGTTGCTTTCAAGCCAGGATTGAAACCTTACCGATTTGGCATTAGTCGGAGATCCTACCCCTAAGCTATCAGTGCACTGCAGAGAGAAAGTGAAAACCTAATGTATTGTTTACAGATGTAAACAAACACCAGCAACCAAAAGTGCTCAATTAAATCAAAAACATGTATATATCTACACAATATATATATATATATATATAAGGCATTCATATACCTCTTAGGTAAATTGAATTCCATATTTTGGCCATTAAAAGAGGCAGCTAAAATGCCTTGGGTAAAACGTTTAAGGAAGTCAGAATCACTATGTTTGTAGTTTATATTTATCAGTTTGCTAATATTGTGGTCTTTTGAACCAGTTGCAAACTTTAGACCAAAACTAAGGGCTTCAATCTCAAAGTGCTGAGTGTGGTTTTTAAACATTGGTAACTAGATCTGTTCTACCCATATTCTTCCAACAGCTGCGATCACATAAAGTATGGAATTTTAGTTTTAAACTCCTGATGTGTTTTTGATTAATTCTGGTCACTTCGGATCAAAGTCTCCGCTGTGATGCGAGACATGCTGTTTTTCAATTTTAGTTCACGTCCTAGAAGTGTGGCTTTTAAAAAGGTTTGTTCCTCGGAAAACTTTAAATCTTTTACTGATGATTCCAGGTAAAGTTTGATATAGTCAGGGAAAATATGTGAAGATGATTTCATGATATTGGACAAGCCCGATGGAACGATTTTTTCATATAAGCAGTTCATTAAGAAATCTTTTCTATTCTTATAAGAATACGCGGAAATTAGTAAATTCTTGTATTTTCAGATAAGCTTGTAATCATCCATGTTGTAAAAATGAATTTAGGTTTGTATTTTCAGTAGACAGTATATAAGCAAGTGTAAATGGATATAAATCCGACAGAATGAAGAAATTTTGAAAAAAACAAACAAAAATCCTTAAATGTAGTTAAATGAAAGAAATGTCGACGTCTGACGTTTCGGTTTATTAAACCTTTTTCAAGACAATATTCATCAAAATACAATTCAGTTCAATATGACAAATACGATGGACATAAAAACACAAGTCTTATTCAGAACAGATAACTGAAAATTTTTAAAATGATCAGCCTTCCGTCTAACATGGTCACGCTGTCGTCACATGGGCGACGCTTTCATAACGTATTCCTAAAAAGTTTGTGATTATTTTGAAATGAAAAAAAAAAAAAAAAATGAAAAGAATTCTATTAGGTTCTAAAATTCTTATGTGTATGCTTGTCAAGCATCAATCTCGCTAAAAAAAAACAAATATTAAAGAAACCAGGTCTAGTATTCACCGTGCAAATAGATGGATATTATACCTGCTTCATAAATCCTCCTGAGATTTTTATTATGAAAATATTTTAATACTTTCACGGAATTGAAATCGAATTATGATCTGCTTTAGTTGTGTGTACAACTAAAGCATTGTTAAAATTACCGAGACGAATATCTCGTTTATGTTCGAAAACACGAGATTTTAAGGACCTACCATATATATATAAAGCATTAAAAGAATAAATATGACAATATTCTTGATGGTTATGGATGTAGAAAGGCTAACATTAAAACTATTTATTCATTGTTAAGGACAGATTTTAACATTGAATGACCCAACAAAAGTTGTTACTATTTATATTATTTATGGGCTGTCTATTACCCTCATCTTTGTTGTTGCTATCACAATATTTTGTTTGTTGTACACCCTGACCTTCAGTGATTAGTCTATTATCCCACTGGAAAATAGACAAGTGGACTAAAGCATTGGCAGCTTCTCTCAAAAATGTCCTTTAATCTGTTGTTTATTGGGGCAAGAAATGGTTTGTAAATTTAAAACTGCTGGATTTAGCCATCTTAGAGAACCATTTTTACTTTCTATTTGCATGGCTGTTGCCAATCACCAGGTGAGCATCTCATTGTGCCTTCTTAGTCTCACATTTTCTATTGACATGAAGTGGAGCAATTATATTGAATCAATTCCTAGGTCTGCTGCTAAGGTTGGTTCTCTGTGTCATACCAGACAATCTTTCTTGTCATATTCCATCCTGCACATATAAATCTACCATTCATCCGTGCATTGAATATTGATGTTTGGTGCTCTAACTAGATTTCTCGAGATACTTAACAAAATCCAAAGAATGGTCTGTAATGTTATTGGTCATGTCCTGGCATCTTAGCATCAGTGACTTTTCCACTGGTGTGGTGTGGCTTCCTTCTGTTCTTTCTATAAATATTTTCATAGCAGTGGTTCTAATGAATCCATGGTACCTCAACCACATGAATTTAAATGTACTACTCGATTGGCAACTAAGTCTCAATGTTTTACTGTTAAATTATCTATATTCTGTTCTAATAGTTGTTTTCCTTTACTTCTTGCCCTCTGATTTCTTCTTACTCTGCCACCTACAATCTTCAAAAATTCAGTGATACCTGAAGATGATTGATGATATTAGAGTAAAGAACTGGTGGAATGATCACATCTCAGGATTTCAATTTTTATGTGAGAAAAATAATTTTGATTTTCAATCCGTCATTAATGGTAGACTGTAGAAGTATTTGATTTCTTGTTTCTTTGACAAATTTAGCTACAGTTCTGTTTAAAATATCTTTATAATAACAGTTAATTATGATATTTTCTGATTTCTTATTTGTTTATCTTTATGAAGTTGCGATACTTCAACAGTTTTTTCTCTTTCATTGCAGGTGTTGGATGTTCTTGAATCCAGTGAAACAAGTTAGATGGAAATCATTTTTGTGTAAATGGGGAAAGGGTGAAAAATCATTTTTTTTGTGGCATGGTGGAAATTGTTTTTGGAAGATACTGGCCATTTCTTTTGAAGTCAGAGTGGAGAGCATTGATGAATAAGAAAAGAATTGTTATTAATTAAAGAAAATGTAATGTAAATGAAATGATAATTTTTATGGAAATTGTTAATTTTATTATTGCTCTTGTTGCTTTTAGAATTTCTTGATTGTTGTTGTTGAAATGAACACATTTGGTGATTTTTTGATGGCTCAAAGTTTCTAGAAATATAAAAGAACTTTGGCACCAAAATATTTTCTAATAGTTCATCTGTTATTTTTTTCTTTCTTTCTTCATTTTACATATTTATTTTCTTCCCATCTGTTTATTCTTTATTTTTCTTCACTTTACTTTTCTTTATATCTTTTTTCTTTCTTTACAATTTTCTTTATTTTATTTTTATGTTTTTCCTTTTATTTTTTATTTTTTCTGCTCATAAATCAATTCAAGAAAATTTTACTTTTTAATTTGATTTTATTTTTCTTGTTTTCAAAGAAAGTAACATCCTGTTAACCATTGGCTTTGATACAAAAAAGGTAATTTCAAGAAAAACCAACATCTGTCCCCACCACAATCAACATCATCCACCATAAGAAACATCTTTCCTCAGACAATATTACACTTTCAATCAATACCAGAATTTAATTACTACAAATATGCAAATTTAAAAAAAAGTATTTCATAAGTTTTATCTTTCTGTACATAAATATTGTATATTAAAATTATGAATAAACATGAGATCCAAAAATGCAAGATATTTATTCCAAAATTTTTTATTTTTGCAAATCACAAAAAAATGCTGAAAAGTTCCTGGTTTAACCCACTTCCCAAAATCAGTGTCTTCATGTGCCGTCATTAAAATATTAATTTTTTAGATGTGGGTTGGGCTGATAACTTTTCAATCCAACCTCATATTAATGTATTTTGCTTAATAATTTTTGTCTTCCCTGATGATTTCATATTTGGAAACAAAATCTTTAACCTTACAATGAATTTTCATTTTCATAAAGAATAGAATTTTTACCTCTCAAAAGGAATTACTAAGACACAGTCTATTTTTTTATTGAACAAGGAAAATGAAAGTCATAAGGGAGAAAAAAGCTGAATAAAAAATAAAATCTTTCAAATTTAGTTCAGAATTGGATGAACTAACAAAAAAAGAAAGTGTCATTTATTCAGCAATCTTATCCTGGATGATTAACATTTTTTGGTTGATCATATTGGGGAAAGATTAAATTCATCATTGAACTCTGCCTATCATCAACCACAAGACAAAAATAGACAAAGAATAAGTATTGCTTCATTTACTAGAAGTCTATTTGGGACAAGTTAATATTTTAAGATTTTAAGGAATGTAAAATGGCTGCTCTTCTTCTTAGAGAAATAAAATTCAAAACAAAAAAAATGAAAATATTCTTGTTTTGTTTTGGATGGCTAAATTATACTGATTAATATAATTTACTTGGATGATAAATCTGGCTTTTTATTTGCCTAACTGGAATGCATTTTTGAAAAATTTTTTCTATGAATATAATGCTAGATTGAATAAAAACAGAAAAAATAATAATAAAAAGTAATAAACATAAATTATTAAAAATATTAAACAATCTTATATAAAAGATTTTTCTAAAAAGTCAAAATTTATTGTGTTATATTTTACAGTTGGTAACAATAGAAGAAAAATCCAACAAAATCCTTAAAATGGCAATCAAGTTAATGCAATTCAAGGGAGGTAACTTCTAAAAGACTTAATGCTATTGATCTTTAGGTAGAAAATTACATAGGTTGACAAGTTCTGTGAGCAGAGTTGAAGGTTCGAAGTGTGTGATAAGTATCAGAATACATTTAGTAGATTTAATTCATTCTTTCAAATGTTTTATAAACCAAAATGTTTAAATGGTAGGGTTAGGGTTGGAGTGACGTTGGATTGTGGTGGTTGGTAGGCTTGTTCTGTTGAACAGGTATGCATTGGCGACTGCAAAGGGAATGCCTTGTAAATGAATCGAAGTAGACTGATGTGACGGCGGCGGGTTGCCAAGGTGATGACAGATTGGCGTAGTTGGTTGGTATTTGCTGAAGTGACAATGTTGGCGACGATGAAGGCTGGGTGGAGTCGAAGCTGGATGGTAGACTGCTCGTAACTGGTGTTTGCCGAGGAAACAGGGTCAAGATGTTATCAAGGCAAAGCTGGATAGTCGAAGTGGTTAGTCATGCCTGGGAGTGGTAACGGTTGGCCACTGCCAGAGCTCACTTCATAGACCGGACGTGATGCGTGGAGCCTAATGCACAGAAAACAACTTTTGTTATTTTGTTATAAACCTTCGTGGCGTTCACATCCGGCCAGCAAGCAGAATGAATCAGAAAGAGATCTAATTGACAGACTATAACAATATCATTATGTATATTTATTCGTAATAAATAAACATAATAATTCGTAATATAAAATAATTGTAATTAAAATATTCTCACCAGTTGATATTCTTTTTAAAAAGATAATCGTCGTTTAACCTAAAGAATAAACAAATAAATAAAACATGTATTTCTAAAATTATAATAAATAAATAAGTATTCACTTCCCTTATTTTTCTTTAAGAACATATCGCTTTAATGAAAATGAAGTCTATTCACTGAAACGGCCAGCGTTTTATTTTTCATCTATACTTATTTATAATTTAAAGTAATTTTTTTAAAATGAAAAGACGTAGTGGCGTAGGGCTTCGTTAACATGAACAGTTTATTTATCCATGTCAAGAAGATTAATGAAGAATGATAATGATGAGGAAATATACATGATAAGGAATTTATTCACGTATTTAACACGTTTGAAGTAGTGTCAGTAATTCGTTTTAGGAAAATAAATCCGAATTCTTAAAGTCCGTAACGTATTGTCATGAAGAGGAAATGTTCATACGCTGCGGGAGACCCCTCTCTTTGTTCGCAAGATGTATGAACGATTGATAATAAATATTTATGAGCTCCTGAATAATTTGTCTCACAGACAATATTGACGGCTTCTGAATGAGAGCCCAAATAATAAATGAATGAAGTAACAAAACCAAATCATATACAATCAAATGAAAACAAAAAGTATATATAGACAGTAAAGAAGAGAACATTTAAACTAGAAAATGTGTTTGCGTGTATTAAATTTGTGTAGGAGAAGTTCGAGAATTAGAAGTAAAGTAAACGTGTATTCTCAGTGGAGACACATTTTTACCAAGTGCGACTACATCTTCTGGTAAAAAAAAAAAGATGACAGAAAATGTCATTACCTATTTATAGGTTTAAGAAGCGCTCCCTAGCGATGGTTATTGTAGGAAAGTCAAATGGGGTAACCCACACATAAATGATCCGACACAAAATAATATTCAAAAGTGTTTAAAACAAAGTTCGTTGCTTACCGAAGGGATACATGGTTTGCACATGTTCAAAAGTAGACGAAGAGAGATAATTTGAAATACTTAGCTTTCTTGGATTGTTGAGAGAAGATTCTTTGAAGTGCTGCGTGCTAGTTAGATGCTGATAATATAATTGGCGAGTAATTTTACGCTGGCGAGTACTTCAACTATGGTCGAGAGGAACTGAAACGAAACCTGTCACATGATTTCAGACCCTTTTCAGATTAATTTTTCTCCTCATTTTATATAAAGAAGAATTTCGCGTAAACTCGCTACTTTCTTTTTTTTTTTTTTTTTTTTTTTGTTTTACAGTAAGGTTCATCCTGTACAAGGCCCGGAGGTCACGAAAAGGGGTAGTTTATATGGATAGGAGGGAAGTTAATGGTTGACTCTAGACTTCAGCAGGTTAAGATTGTAGTGATCAGGGAACATCCTCTTGGGAGTCTGTTCTAATTGGCAGTGGTTCGCGTGAAGAAGCTGTTTGAGTGGAATTTACTTCTCGCCGACGGAATATCGGTGGTTTGCTACTGGTGGCATGGTGGGTCGTGAAGATTTGACCTGGTGGAATCAAGAGGTGCTGTTCGTCCGATACTTTCCTTCTTCTTGGCTCATCAGCTTATTTCCGTAAAGGCTAGGTTTTCATTGATAAAAAAAACAAAAAAAAACATGTAAGCTCAAGAATTTCTTCTTCTTCTTCTTCTTCTCGACTCACAGGTTAATTTTTGTGAAAGGCAAAAATCTGACATTTACTTCTTCTTCTTCCTCAGTCCTCCGAATTCGAAGGGAATGAGTGAAAGGAGTTATTATTATTTAGCACGCACTACATATCTTCAACTTTGTCGGAGGGGCGTTTCGAATTCTAACGTTTATTTCATATTTGACTGTGTTTTCTCTTATTTATTATCATATAATTCTGCTTGTTCTTTTATCCCTTAGTTAGTCTTATCATTCATCCGATTTGTATATATATATATATATATATATATATATATATATATATATATTGTAAATAATATTTATCATCTCATTGGGATGTTTTTTTTAGCTTTCCCCAACCCCCGACAGGATGTGGTATCATGGTGTATGGAGGATTGATTGACGACGGATGAGTTTTTATGGTGAATGAGGAAATTGTAACGAGTGAATGGGTCGTGAATCCGATTAGCTAGGTATAAGATAGTTCGTGAAGACCAGCCTCAACCCATTCCCCCTTTTCGGCATTGTGCCATAATTGTATTAATTTACAATAAATGTCAATACTTGATGAACTTGAGCAAATGGATGACGGAAGATAGTTTGGGAGAAATAACAAAAAGACAAAACTTATTAAGAGCTACAAATGAAACGTGGAGATGTGGAGAGCCATCATTGCATGCGCCCTGAACGGACACGGCACATAAAAGAAGAAGAACAAAATTCATCATCGATTAATTCTAAGCAATAAGAGGAAGAGAAGAATCTCATCATTTGACACGTGACGCAAGCGAGTGTATGACGAAACACATTATAGTCAGCGCGTCCGCCGTCTTGGACGTTACAAATTCTCGTCCTGTTTCTACTAATATATTTTTGTTCTGTTCGCTTTAAAAACACAACTGATTTATAAAGAACTGGAAAGAAAGAAAAAAACTAATAATCAAATTTTAAACAATTCTCGCACCGGATTCAGTAAAAACATTTTTCAGTGGTAGTTATGAAAACTATTCAAAAAGTTCTTAAACGGTTTTAAACAAAAAAAAACTACAAAACATGGATTTTCTTGGAAATAGCCAAACAGCGACCTATATGTCTGGTCCGACTCATGAGTTGAAAACCTCCAGAAATTTACCAACAATAACTCAGAATACTACTGCAAGAGAACTGACTTCCAATTCGATTCCACTTCGTCGTTCTTATACAAATATGCCAGGAAGAGTGAGTACCTATTATCAGTCGTCAAAAGTCAATCCGAATCGACCGTTTGGGGCAAGAACCATTGACCCAAATACCTATTCATCACAGATTTATAGTATGGACGCATTTAAAATACCTCCTCTTTTTCAGTCAGCTCGCAACGCTCTCTATACGCGTTATTCACTGAACGATTGGGACAACTCGAACCATGCCGCGTACAACACATCGGATTACTTACGCAATGGAGCCGAACGTCTTCGCCTGGACACTTTACGCCTTTGCAAAGAGACCGACGCGCGGCGCACTCAGTCGGATGTCGGTAAGAAGTTGGGCGAACGAGTGAACGACATTGTCTTTTGGAAGAACGAGCTACTTCATGAAACGGACGAGATGCTCGCCGAGATCGCCGCTCTGAAGGAGGCAAAGCGTTTGGTTGAGAAAGCCTTGCCAGAAACTGAAGACGTGCTGTCTATTGCCCAGGAGTGCCTCTACAATCGAGAGAAGCGTCAAGGGATAGATCTGGTACACGATGGACCCGAGACTGCCTTAATCGACGAAGTGAGTTCGATCCGAAAGTGCCAGGAAAAACTGCGCAATGTGATTGACAAGACCACTGCGCAGCTGAATCTGAACCGCGCTGCCCAACACGAGCTTGAAAAAGATTCGGGAGATAAGTTCATAGCACAGAACCTCGATGAGTGCGCCCAACAGCTTACCGGCTCGTCACGTGGCCTAGCTTACCACAACGGCATCGAGAATATAGATAATACAAAGTCCGTTCCGGAAACATGGTGTATGTTCACAAATAATAACATCAAACGATCGCAGGCCGAACGAGCCGCCTCCAGGCACTTACGAAACGAGTTTAATACTGTACTGAACGATTGCGCCAACGAAATGTGGAATCAGTGGAATCTGACAAATCAGGCTCTCACCGACCGAATAAAAGACACCCTGGATGCCAGAAACAAGATCCAAACGCATCTATCGAAGGTCCTGCAAGAGATATTTGACATGTCAAAACATATCGAGTTGATAAAGAAAGCTATTCAAGATAAGGAGAATCCATTGCAAGTAGCGCAGACACGACTCGACATTCGAATGCGACGGCCTAATGTCGAGGCATGTCGAGACACGGCCCAGCTTAGGCTTATCGACGAGATTGATGAGATTTACGACACTTTGGAAACGTTGCAGAACAAACTGCGCCGTGCTGAGAATTCAATGCAAGATCTGTTCCTGATCAAAGCATCACTGGAAGAGAATCTCGCCATTAAGAATAATACGCTTTTCATCGACAGGGAGAAATGTCTGGCCATGAGAAAGACATTCCCTATGTCGCCGATTTGTGGAGTGAGACTCCGCACCTCGTCGGACCTCCTATTGAACAAGTAATAACAAATGAAAGATGAAAATGTCATTTTGCGTTTCCGCGATTAAATTCGTTCTCAGATAATCATTTTAAAAATTCCCTCAAGTGCTAAAATGTTTTTTGTAAACTTTCTCTGATATGCAAAGGTAGTACTATTTGAAAGTCTCGAGATCAGCATGAGTGCCTAATATTTATGCTTATTAGGCTCAGTTACGTCTGGTACAAGGCTAAAAATGCAGAGCACCCACTAGAGCGAAATTACTTCAGGAGTAAGTATGATAACCATTACATCAGCGAATAATGTCATTTACGGTTTATAAAGCTTGGCTTCGTGTAGAGCATCCAACATTTTGTCAATTTTAGATAAAAATTCTTACTATTGGAAGCTATCGATAGTTGTGTTAACAGAAGAGCAGGGGGATGTTGCTTCCGCTGTTTCGACCAGATTCCTCAATTTTATTCTCTTTGTCATAACGTTTCGGCCTTCCTCAGCTAGATGTTGCATTTGGTAACTTTCTGAAAATGTTGAACTAAACACATTATTTAATATTTTCTGCTCTTTCTTTCTTTCTGTCTGTCTGTCTGTCTATCATGAGTGCTTGATATTTATACTTATTACACTTAGTTAAGTCTGTTACAAGGCTAAAAATGCAGAGCGCCCAATGAAGAGCAAACTTACTTCAAGTGTAATAGTTTGATAACCATTACATCAGCGAATTAAGCCATTTACAGTTTACGGAAATGGTACTGGTAATATTAGTCTTTTCCTTATAAGGAAACATTCGTCATTCATTGACCGCAGCAGCCAGTGCTGATGTCGGTTGAAATTTATAGAATCTTTCTCTTAAAACAATTTTTCAGGAAAATAGAATTCTCAAGTCCAGTAGCTGTTATTGCTTATTCCAGTATTGATGGCGGTTTCTTTCCTAACCTTTTATTTTGGCAGCGTAGAACGCCAGCATCTTAAATTATGTCATTATTCTTTCTTCGGTTTAAATGTGCTGCTACCCATTTCAGTTGTTGTCGTTGTTGTTGACAGTCATCAAGTGACGTGCATTCTGACATTTGGTACATTTCTTCGTTTGTGATTCTGTAAGGCCAGTCCTTCAGGTTTGTTGAAGTATAGGTCCTCGCTGAAGTCTACACGTTTCATCCCCCACCCACAAGCCATTTCTAGGCGTTGATCTGAGAAAGCCGTTGTACACAGCTGACATTTTAGATATTTCTGAACAAGTTTGGCGCCATGCATGACATCAATATGAAAGTCTCGATATGAGGGGGCTAAGAACAGGACTCGAAATTTCAGGTTAATGTTTTAGTTTTATAGCAATTTGCGGTGTTGGGCGAAACTGTCTCTAGTGCAGCATATTCTTTGTTCAATTCCCTTATCTCTTATTCTTAATTCTGATCTATAGGCAGAAGTGTTTATAAAAATAGGCACTTGTACAAATATTTTCTTATAGCATATGCATTAAAATTTCATAATATATTGCCAAATCAACAAAATTCAAATTTCGTAAGTTGATAGTTGTACATAATTAGGTTACAATAAAATTTGTATTTTATATGAAAATTGAGATGTAGTCGATAGGGGGAATCCTATCATAGATTGGGGGGGTACAAGACTCTTGCATCAGACAGTTCTTTGTGCTTCTGTAGCTCTTTGCCAAGACACTCAGACTTCAATCGCTCAAAGCTATTTTTAGCTATTGATCTCAGAAAGTGGTTGTATACAACCTACAGTTTAGATATTTCTGAACGAATTGGTACTATTCATTTTAGGTTAATGTTTTGTTTTTTGTAGCAATTTGCGCTGTTGGGCAAAACTAGTCCTATCACAATCTATTCTATGTTCAATTCTTATGTCATATACTATATTTGTTGTAAATGATTCATACATCGATATATTTGAAGTGTTTTGTATTTACTAATTCCACATCCTGAATTTTCATTATGGATTCAAGGTCAGTGTCATCACTGCTTTTATTTCAATTCCACATCATAGTTTCAGTTTTGGAAAGGTTTATCTGGAGTCCTACTTCTTGGAACGCTTGGTAGTTGTTGATTTTTTTTTATTCAATATCATTTTTGCCCTATGAATGCCTATGTCATCAGCATAACACCCCCTCATTCTCTGTACACTGACCTCAGGAGCAGGAACTCTGTTTTTTTATTTATAGATTCAGTATAAGGTAAGAATTTTCAAACGAAAGGCTTTGTTAGATTTCAAATTCTTTAATCTATATTGCGATTAATTGTTGTCAAATTCTAATTAGTTCTTCGCTTTAACATCGGTTAGACGGAACTCGTTAGTCTGGGAAAGCAGTCCGTTTAACAGAAGGAAGATTCTGATTTTAAACCTCGGCTACATTGCGGCGACAAAAATATAAATACCAGAGTAGACTGAATTATTTTAGCCTTGCTATTCAGTCTAAGTAACAAAGGAAGAAAAGTGCGACACTGAAATCCAAAGGTGCAATGCGATAGCCAAAGATGCATTCCAAAAGCTAAGCAGAGTATTAAGAAACAAAAAAATGTTATTAGAAGCAAATAAAAGAGTACTGAAATGTTACGTGATATCAGTCCTTCTATATGGTAGTGAATGCTGGAAAATCTCCTCAAAGACGAAGATGAGACTTGAAGCAACAGTAATATGGCTCTACAGAAGGATGCTCAGGATACCATGGACTGAAAATATGAGCAACGACGAAGTTATAGAGAAAATGAAAACAAAAAGGAAATTTATACTTCCAGTTAGGAAGAGATAGTTGAAATCTTTAGGGCCCATAATGAGGAAAGAGGGCTAGGAAAATTTGATTCTCATAAGACAGATTGAAGACAAGAGGGAGAGAGGAGAACAACACAACCTACCTGGTGAGCTTGAGTGAATGAATGGCGGAGAAGGGTTTGAAAGAGATAGTCATAAGACAATATTTATTAAGAGCTACGAAGGATAGGAACTTCCTGCTATTTAATCTATATATGGGGGAAGAGATGGATTCCTACCTTTTCTAAGGATATTTCTGCGTAAGTGAACGTAATGAACCCAACTGAAATTCGAACTCGGCTCTGCGATTTCTCATTCTGAGCTGCTATCCATTGCACCATCTACACGTCCCAATTCGCTAGAATAATTTCCTTTGTAAAATGTATGTATAAAAAATGAATTCATTCCTTTCTGCGTTCCATATGTCTTTGTCTACTTTTTGCAAAATGATAACTGAAATTTACATGCCTCCATCTTTCATATTGGAAGTGAGAGACAAAATTGGAAGTAACTATGTTCCTCTATCTAACTACATATTAATTATAAATTCAGGTCGTTGCAATTTTTATACCTGGATTCACATTGTCTTTCGTTTTGTTTGGCAGTGTAGGCAGGTCACGCTGTTGAACAGCGGAAGCAACATCACCCTGCTCTTCTGTTAACACACTAACACAACTATCGATAGCTTCCAATCAGTTTCGTCTACCCGATTTGACTAACAGGGCTTGGGTCAAAATGTGGTATGATTTTCAAGTAGTTTCCAATGGTGCCGTGAATTGAGAATTTCTCACTATAGTAACATTAGCTAGTAGTCACATCTTTGGTATTATTCGAGCCTTGGTCTCAAGGTTGGAACGCTGAAGCTCTAACCATTTGCCCACACTCCTGCCAAAACCCTACTTTACGACCGCGAGTGGCCAATGATTCACTTAAGCATCATCAAACTCAACTCCATAAGCCATAAGCCTATGGAGTTGAATTTGATGATTTTAATCGAAGAGCTGTGTTACAATTCCCAGTGGGTACGTTATATTCATTTATGCACAAATACCCTTGGGAAAGATATGAATCCACCTCTTCTCTCCCCAGCTATGGGTTAATTAGTAAGACTTGTATCACTAAAACATTATAATCTCAAAAAAAATCTTACAATCTAAGAATATTTCCTGGCTTTAAATAACCTGCAAAGGGTTGATTAACCGTAGAAAATCAATCAATCGACTCAATGAGTGTAACATCTCAGCTCTCCGCTTTCCTTTTCACCTTGGCCGAATGATAAATCATTCCTGACATCAAAGCTGTCGCCAGATGTTACACGACTTCAAATTTATATCCAAAGTAAGGCATCTTGATTTGTAAGGATTAGCCTCACCTTGCCTGCCAAGATTCCTGCTATTCGGGACTATAAAAGGATGGGGGAAAAAAACCCTTAATCTTTTGCTCTGGAATGTCGTAGCAAAAGCAACAGGATTTCTCCCCGACAAGTGTGATATCTTCCTTTGGCAAAACGTCTTAATTTCAGCCAGCCACGTGGTGCATCTCACACACACACACACACACACACACACACACACACACACACACACACACACACACACACACACTTTCTAGCAACAAAGCCTATAAATATATTTAATTATATTTTCTATCATCTTGAATTATGTTACTCATTATCTAAAAATATATACAATATCTCCATATGCTGATTCACTTTCTTTCAAAGTTTTCCACCCCAACCTCATCTATTAAAATCTTGAAGCATCTAACTCATTACAGACATAATATTTTACACACACACACAAACACACACACAAACACACACACACGCTACTTATCAATTTCAAAGTAACTGTATCAAATTTTCAATATCCACAAAAGAAATTATCAGAAAAGTAATATTACAACACGGATTTTTTCTTTAAAAAAGTATTTGTTCCATGTTAACCAAACTTGGTTCTTGCTATGTTTGATGCTAAATACCCTGAAAAACAAGACTAACTTTTATCTTATAATGCAGAATGCCACAGTACAAGTATTGGTAGTTCTCAATGTCTGAATCTACATTAAATCCACCAGACGCATCAATTATGCATATAAGACCATCTTTAAGTCACAACACATATTCTTTCTTTACTCATTTTTAAGGTGACGGAATTAGGTCGTATATATCTCACCAAATAATGTACTTACTATAAACTTACTTTGAATGTTGATGAGTTTTAGTCCAAAACTTTAGTTTATCGGTGATGTGTTCACATAGTAACTAGTGATTAACTACTTTTCTTATAACAGCCATTGTTATTAGAGATACAACGTCACCATTAAGTATTATATAGAGAACAGTGTGCTTTTTAATATTCATTAATGACCTTCCTAATAGCATCAACTCTGAATTTGGTATCTACATTGATGACACAACCATTTACTCCTGCCTCGATAGTAAGGCTGATCAGTACGATGAAGTCAAAATGGCAGCCTATGTCCAAAGATCCTTGATAAAATCCAATCAACAATATTATCGGTCCGGATCTGGTGGCTCGGCTTCAGTCATTTTCCCACCGCCCTACTGGACTGGCGTCAAGATCTCATCAATTTAACATTGAGCTGGCTAAATGTAGCCGTAAATTTTATGTTAACAGTTTCTTTTCTTGCACTTCTCGCTTGTGGAACTCCCTTCCGGCTCCATGCTTTCCAGCCAACTTTAATCTGCAAAATTGTAAATGCAATGTCACTCACTATCTACTGTCATTCCCTTACTCTTTTCTCTTCCCGCTCATTAGTAACATTTCTGTTCCTAATTCTTCCACACTCAGTAACCCCTTGTGTCTTAGTGGCTTTACTGTCTTGCTTGGGGTGAAATCGATTAAAAAACAAAAAAACTTAAGTTATAATTAAAGAACTTGTTGATATATAACAAAATATAATGTTGAAGAAATAATCTTGTATCTTCTGTGAGTTTAGTGTTGCTAGAATCTAGCCAAAATGTTCTGTTGAGTAGGGTTCAGTTCTTTTTTTTCTGTAAAATAGATTCTTATTTTTCTTATAGCTTGTAAACAGAAAGCAATCAAAAAAGTAGATCAACTAAAATCTAGTAAAAACAAAAGTGGCAAAAAAGAATCAATTTCTTTGTCTGAAAAACTCTTCTAAAAATCTAGAGGGTATTTTAAACAAAAAGAATCAATTCCATTCTCTGAACAATGCTCCTCAAAATTATAGAATGTATTTGTAGAATTATAGAATGTATTTTAAACAAAAAGAATCAAGCTGGGATGCCAGGTGAAGGCCAATAACATTGCAGATTCTTGGGATTTTATCAAGAAGTTCTGAATATATAGCAGGAGCACTAGGCCAGCAATATTCGAAGCATGGACGAATGGTAGACTTATAAATATGTAAGATGGATTCTGGAGAGAAAAAAAGTAAATATTAAATATTGATATATATGGTATTTATTTTATTCCATAATATAAACAGAATATCCTCTCTTTACATGGATATCAATATAATAATTCAAAGCTTCATTTTGCTGAATCAAAACAATACTCATTTCAATGGTATAAAATAAATAAGATACCATATCAGTTTTTTTTACTCTAATCATTACCTGAAGCAAGGCAATAATGCTACTGCGATGCAAGGAGTTACTGGGAGTGAAAGAGTATGAGAAAACTTTAGTGAGGAGAAAGCAGTAAAATAACAGAAATAGTTGGTGATTGATATTGCCTTTTCATTTTTGAAAATCGTAGGTGGTAGGGAATCAAGAAACTGGAAGAGAGTTCCACAGGCGAGAAGTGCGAGAAAAGAAACTATTTGAATAGAACTTATGGTTACAATTAGTTAATTCAACCTTTAAAAAAAATGTGACCGATTTGCCAACCTATAAGTACACTTAAATTCATGCACCAATGAGGTAACATGGAGGAGAATTGCCATGAAAATCTTTATAAAAAAAAAACGTACAGGGAAGTCATGACATGGCAGTATGAAAGTGACTGAAGTCGAGATGCTGGGCTGATCAATAACATTACAAATACTTCTTTGGGTTTTCTCAAGAATTTTGAGATATATAGCCAAAGCACCAGATCAGATATATTTGCAATATCCAATGCATAGACGAAATATAGATTTATAAATGTGTAGCATGGATTCGAACAATTTCATCAAAAGACAGATATGAACTGAAAATTACTTTCCTGTTACATTCTATAAGAAATGAAGTCCTGAAAGTATTTAATGTTCAATAAGGGAAGGGAGATTACACAAAATGAAAAACAAAACAAATAAATTTAAATGTCGAAGTTATATAGTTATTGGAACTTATATTGTAGCTGAGATAGTTGTGCCTACCTTACCAGTACAACTGGTTGGCAAAATGAGAACATTTCAGCTGAAATTTAAACGTCAGTCATGCAAGTAAATTAATGCTGAAAAGTCATCCTAAATAGATACTCAACACAAATGAAAACCAGTCACTGATTATCACAATTCCCCAAAAAGGCAATCTCCAACAATATTAAAGCTACTGGACAATCGTTCTGATTGGTCACTCAAGAAATGCTGAAAAGTCATCCTAAATAGATTGGTGCCTCAAACAGAACAAACCCAGTCACTGAATAACAACATTTTCCCAAAAAGACAATCTCCAACAATGTCAAAACTACAGGACAATCAGTCTGATTAGTCACACAAGTAATGAAGAAAGCCATACTAAATAGACTGATTAAATCCAGTCATTGATTATCACCATTTCCTACAAAGGCGATGTCCAACAATATCAAATCTACAGGAAAATCAGTCTGATTAGTCACACAAGTAAAATAATGCTAAAAACAATCTTAAATAGACTGATGCTTCAGTCAGAAGAAATCACCGTAAAAGAACAGGCAAGATTCATACTTGAAAGAAGTACCATAGAACGGATACTAAATTTCAGAGTTCTGTGCAGAAAATATACATAATACCATGTTTTCATAAACTTCAAAAAAAGCCTTTTGTAGAGTGTCGCATTAGGTATTGTAGGCATCAATGAATAAATATAACATCGGAAAAAGTTTACTTATACTGTCCAGCAGATGTGTGAAAAAACAGTGAACTATTCCAGAACTGCATAGGAAGGTGGTTCCCCACATCAGTGTTCGTCATGGCTGTCTTCTGTGCCTTACACTCTTTAACATCTTTCTTTAATGTATCATGTGTAACATCCTTGAGGGACACTAAGGCACAGTGACCATCAGATGTTGAAACATCAAGAACTCTCACTTTGCAGATGACATAGATGAAAAACGAATTATATAAAGTTTTTGTCTCACTGTATATGAATGATTCTAATGCTAATACAGCGTGCGACAGAAATACCTCCCAGATAATGGTTAGACATTAGTGGCAATGGTGTCTTCATCTAGCTAACGTCTCTTTACCATTATGTGGAGGTATTTCTGTTGCATCACATATAACAACAGAAATTACTTTGATTGGTTAGGTTTTTACGACTTATCAACCTTTTGCAGGTTATTTTAAAACCATAAAATATTTTTAGATTGTAAGAATTTTTTTGGCGGGGATAATAAACGACTTGGCGATACAAGTCTTACTAATTAACCCATAACTGGAGGAGAAGAGGTGGATTCATACTTTTCCCAATGGTATTTGCACGTAAGAGAATATAACGAACCCAACGGGAATTGGATCTCGGTCCTCCATTTAACAATTCCGAACCATTATCCATTACATCACGCGCACATCCAATCTTACAGCACCTGGTATTCCCAAGAGGTCACCCATCTAGATACTGACCAGGCTCGACGTTGCTTAACTTTGTACGGGATCTGGTGTTTCAACGTGCCGTGGCCTTAAGCCTCAGGTATTGTTTGCAAAGAAAAGAAGAAAGGAAGAACAAAAATTAGTTTTTTCAAATAAAATCTTTAATAAATTTATTCATATTTTGTAATTGTAGTAAAATGACTAAATACAAACTAGTAAATATTACTTTAAATAACAACTTCCCTTTCTAACACTACTAATCCTTACTCTTCAAATTACATTTTTATCGCAAACAAATATTTCAATGAATGTCAGTTTGATCATAGCAACAAAAAAAAAACAAAAAACGATGGACGTGTAAATGACCAACATTTTAAAAATATATCATGTTTATTTTCTTTAAAATTAGATTTTTTAAAAATTTTACTCAACAATTCCATATCGCATTTCGTAGGCTGTTTTTTATACATTTTCATCATTGTTTTTTTTTTAAGATTATATTCTAAATGATTGTTTAGTTAAAAATTTAAAAGTTAGCCTTAGATAAAATAATATTATTTCAGTCATTTGATTTCTTAAATTTCTGCGAGTTAAAGAACAAGGTTTTCATTTTATTATGTTTTTTTTTTTTTAATGACAAGTGATGACGACATTATACCTAATTTCTGAGGATAGGCAAATTCAATTTTTTTTAACTCTGTCGCTCTCTGTATCTCCTATACGCACTCTATCTGTAATCCTTTTTTTTTTTAGCTTTATTTCGCTTTTTATGTGTGTGGGGCTACCATTATTTTTTTATGAATCATGAGAAGTTAATCAAAAAATATCGATCATAACAACTTTCGAAACCACGTCTGTCAAATACAATCAGTCTTGCGTTGAAAATGTGCGATACGAACCCTACATTCAAGGAATTTGAACAATGCATGCGAATCTAATGTAGTACGGATTTTTGCCGCTACACTTTGTGAACAGTGCTCTTTAGATTGTTGTATGCAGGCCCAAGAAGTCTATTTCTAGATTTGGGGGCATATAAGTATTTTTCAAGATTAAATGATTGGAACTTTTAGGGAGTGTCCATACTAAATTGGTTTCTGTAACTATTTTTTATTCCAAAGTTCAAAGTACTTTTATATTACTTTGTTTTTAACAAATAACAAACTTGTGTAATTTTCATAGGGGAAGGTATGTTGTAATATTGATGCGAGAGCCGTTCGATTATAAATCAGTTCTTCCAAACAGTCCTGGGCGATAGGTTCGAAATCTTGGTGAAATTTGTTGACGAATAGTTGAGGTGCATTCAGTAAATAATGCAAATCACCAACGCCTATTATACAAATCGATCGAATTCTTTTACCATAGCACGGTTTTTCGCCCCAATTTTTAAATCTGGCTAAGAAAGGCTTGTTTGGTCCAGATTCTGGTTCACCTGTTAATATAAAAAATTAAGATTTATGTTAAAATCAGTAAAAGAAATGAAATAACGTAAAACAAAATATAGATCTTATTGCGATTTCGGTGCAAACTGGTGTTAAGCTTGCTCAGGACAAAAATTAACAGAACAAGAAAAAACGAGATACAATACAATACAAAAATTAGCAAACATTGCATTACACAATATAAAATTATACAATGAAGAGTTGCAAACAAAGAATGGTGTTTGTGGCTTAACTTAACTGAAGTCCTTGTAACTTGAAGAGATATATTCTCATGTATTTTGGATAAAGTTCTTTTAGGTCAGGCTCATGAATGCTCAAATTAGTTACTCCAAGGTTGCAGCATAAAAAGGTTTAGATATTCTCTGGTAACTAGAAGAGAGTCTATTTAACGTCAGCCTTTGATAATCCGTCTGTCTTGGTCGAAGTTTCAAGCAGAAAGAGAGTGAGCTAGAAGATTAGTTTTTGGATCAATTTGCTAGAGGCCTATGATTGGCAGCATCCCACAGTCCATCATCCAGTCAAAATGAGTGGTACGAATCTTCTGGGAAACTGTTGAACAAGCAATGGAAGTAAATCACTTGAAGGGAAAATGTATTTTTTATACTTTACTAGTAGAGCTCTTCATCACTCGAAGTCAAGTGTAAGTCTCAATTTTTCAAAATTCAAATGAAAGATTCCAAACTATCTCACATTTTTAGAACTTGATTCTGAAAAAAGAACAGAAGAGACTCGAAGCATCAGAAGCAAAGAAAAGAATACAGAAATATTATTTAATATCTGTCCTTCTATTTGGCAGAAAATGATCGGCAGTCTCTTTATAGAAGAAGAAGAGACTCGAAAAAAAGGAGCAAAAAAAATTGAACTATTATTTAATATCAGTCCTCCAATATGACAGTGAATGCTGGACAATCTCGTCACAGAAGAATAGTCTCGAAGTAAAAGGAGGAAAAGAAAAGTATACTGAACTGTCATTTAATATCAGTACTGCAAAATGGTAGTGAATCTGGACAATCTCCTCACAAAAGAAGAGTCTCGCAGCAAAAAAAAATAAAATAAAAGAATACTGAACTGCTATTTAATATCAGTCCTCCAATATGGCAGTGAATGCTGGACAACCTCGTAATAGGAGAATAGACGAAGCAACGGAAGCAAAAGAAAACAATACTGAACTTTTATTTAATATCAGACCACCTATATGGCAGAAAATGCTAGACAAGATGCTCATAGAAGAAGAGACTCGAAACTAAAGGCGCAAAAAATATTGAATTATTGTTTAATATCAGTCCTCCAATATGGCAATGGATGCTGTACCATCTCCTCACAGAAGACGAAGAGACACGAAACAACAGAATAAAAAAAAAGAATACTGAACTGTTATTTAATATCAGTCCTCCAATATGGCAGTGAATGCTGGACAATCTCCTCACAGAAGACGAAGAGACTCGAAGCAACAGAATCAAAAAAAAGAAGAAAAAAAAAAAGAATACTGAACTGTTATTTAATATCAGTCCTCTAATATGGCAGTGAATGCTGAACAATCTCCTCAGAGAAGAAGAGACTCGAAGCAACAGAAGCAAAAGAAAAGAATACTGAACTGTTATTTAATATCTGTTCTCCAATATGGCAGTGAATGCTGGACAATCTCCTCACAGTAGAAGAAGGAATTTGAAGCAAAAAAAGCAAAAGAAAAATTTCTGAACAGTTATTTCATATCAGACCTCCTACATGACTGTTAATGCTAGACAATCCCTGCATAGAAGACCAAAAGAATCGAAACAAAAGAAGCAAAATATATTGAACTATTATTTAATATCGGTCCACCAACATGACAGTGAATGCTGGACAATCTCCTCACAGTAGAAGAAGGAATTTGAAGCAAAAGGAGCAAAAGAAAAAATTACTGTACTGTTATTTAATATCAGTCCTCATATATGGTAGAAAATACTAGACAATCTCTTCATAGAAGAAGAGACTTGAATTAAAACGAGAAAAAAAAAATATTGAACTATTATTTCATATCAGTCCTGCTATATGTGAATATGTTCGCATAGAAGAAGAAAAGGAGCAAAAGAAAAGAATACTGAACTGTTATTTAATATCAATCCTCCCATATGGCAGTGAATGCTGGACAATTTCTTCACAGAACAAGTGACTTGAAGCAACGGAAACAAAAAAAAAATACTGAACTGTTATTTAATATCAGACCTCCTATATGGCAGTGAATGCTGGACAATCTCCTGACAGAAGAAGGGCCTCGGGCGCATGCACCCGAGTGCCAAGTCCCAAAATAGCACAGAGCCCGCAACCATTGGTTCCACTGACAACGGTATTAATACCGCACTCTTTAATGCAATGACAGGGGATACATTCGTGGTCAGCTGTTTCCAGAGACCGGGGACCTTTCAATAATATTTTCAGTTTGCGCTCTGCCCGAAGACAGAGACAACTTACAGATGAAACTTCATTTCCTATCCTAATACGCACGCCGTACACTATTAACCGAAGAATCTTTATAAAGCAACAAAATTTGTGATTAGACAGATGAAAGTACAAAATCACAATTTTAATTCACTACAATGTCTATACAAAACACAATTTCTCCGACGCGACAAATAGAATTTTTTTTCTACAACACGTGGAAATCACAGAAGCTCAAATCTGCACTAAACAACAATTACTACTACTATGACACGAACCTTACAATATTCTTTCTCCCCACTGATCTATATTTGCCTGACCCTTTCTTTCTCTCGGCGACGTTTGACCCAATTTCACCCAGCTTACCAAACGGAAAACGCAACGCCATTTTCAACTAATACTCTTGAATTTTCTTCTTTTTATTGCCCTTGTAACCTTTTCTTTTCTCCTTCACTCTATTGTAGGTACCTCCACTGAATTCTCGATACCTAACGTTTAAAATGAATTTTTTTAAATGAAAACGCTTACTTGAAGCTTTCATTTCAGCTTTAATTAAAACTAATGGTTTAACTTTTACTATTTCCAGTAAGCAAAATACGTTGGTATATTTCAAACAGAAATATATTGATGGGAAGCGATTTATTTTTTTTCTTGTTGTTGCTAAAATAGCTGATTGGCGCCCCTTTTTTAGTAGTCTTTCATCGCAGTGTAATTCTCTTTATTAAAACATCATCCAAAAATAAAATATACTGTTCTGAAACTTTATTTGAGGAATATTAACTGATTTAAAGTGTAATTAATCTGATTTGAAACAAGTATTATCCACTTTAAGTTTAAAATACAATAGAAATGAATTTTTAAAAAGCAAACAATAGCAGTGTTTGTAACTGACAATAGCCATGTTTACGCGTTTGACGAGGTGATGATATACTGATTGTTGTTCTACGGAAACTTTATCTGTAAAACATTTTTTAAAAAATGACATGAACGCCTTTATATATTATTTTTAAGTAATCAGTAATCTTTAAAATATGGAAAATATTCTCCGTAAATCTAATTTTAGGAATGTTGACTTCAAATTTATTATTTTCTGACAATGTCGTGTATGTTCGTCCATACTTTCAAAAATGGGAACGTTAAATAATATTCTATATACATAAAAAATAAAAATTCTTTTAAGAATTTTGATGTTCGATGCTATGATTAGTAAATATATTTTTCACTTAACAATA